TCTATATTAATCAGTTCCGCAAATGTATATAGCATTATACCCCCTCAGTCGAAAATACCGAGAAAACACATCGGCACTCAACACACCTAAGTATTAACAAGAAATCCAATTAACAATTAAGTATTAACCGATCACAATTATAAAGTTAAACAACCGACACTTGCAACTGTACTTATAGTCGATGATATTCCTAAGGTAAGGAATGTTGTTGACGGAAGGAAGAGCACTGGTAATTAGTATGTTTCGTTAGCCAGGAATCGAAAGCTTTGGTAACTCGTCGTCGCTGGCCAATATATCAGCCATTTTATAAAAAATTCGATTATATATTCAAAGCAGGAAGAATTGACAACAATTTCATTATTTTATTGAGGACTTAAATATGAATCAGATTTTGATTGGAATAGATTCACATGAAGAATAAAAATCAAAACACTAAACCAAATACCTTTATTGTTACTTTTAAGAATGTTCAGGGGAGAAGTAGAAGGGCAAAGATAGAAGGAGACAGCGAGGGAGGGCGAGATGCAACAACGACGAGGAGAGAATGAGGAAAGTAAGGAGTCACATAACCTTCAATCGAAGGTGTTTTGAGTGAGAGGAACCATTGGATATCTCTAAACAATTTATTGAGATGTGGTTCAAAGCCCTAGTTCTTTTCGTCGAATAGCGCTGATGAAAACATACGGAGACTTGGTGACATCGTGGATAAGGAAGAGTATTGTCTGATGGTGCTGATGAAATCATACGAGACAAACACTCTTTAGAGAATCCATGGCCGCTTAGAGCTGATTGGGTTCGATGCTGGTGATGGCGGCTTAGGGCTTGCAAAGAGAAGGGAGAGAGAGTGCAGATCAAGGTACAGGAAGACGTGTTGTTTCAAAAGGATTGACAGCCTCACAATAAAATTAGGGTTCTTTGTTAGAGGATTGTTGAAGGAGAAGAAGCATAAGGCGGGTGTTTAATTTTTTAGGATTTCATGTCCCACCATCGCCGAATAAAAAAAGCGAGAACGTGCACGCCTTCCTAAAAAAATATAAAACGACATCTTTACATGACACGCTTTTTATGGTAGGTGCCCTCCGTGTTTTTTTTTTTTTTTGACAGTAATTTTAGGGCACGCAGAAATGCATGTCCTTTATCAGAGCGCGTCATGTATGTGTATGTATGTATGTATGTGAGTGTATGTATGTATGTATGTGAGTATATGTAAGCATATTTATATATGTGTATATGTACATGTGTGTGCTTATGTATATGTATGTGTGTGTATATGTATGTGTATATGTTTATTTGAATGTGTGTGTTTATGTGTATGTTTATGCGTGTATGTGTATATTATGTATGTGTGTATGTGTGTGTATGTATGTATGTGTGTATGTGTATGTGTATGTATGTGTGTATATGTATGTGTATATGTATGTATGTATGTGTGTGTTTGAATTCAAGTAGTCGCAATAGTCTTGAAGGAAATTGGGGATCAGTTTCAGGTAAACATTCTTGATTAGCCCTCTTTATTTCCATTTTTGAATAATGATCTAAGTATTGTCTCATAGCGTTAGTGTACCCGAACGCAAAGATGAGAAACCATGTTCATCTGAGGTGCAAGATGCTCAAAAAATCATGTTGTTTCCCAGCAATAACTAATTTCAACAAGGAATTAGAAGAGAGAAAGAAGAATGAGGAAGTTATTGCAAAAGTTACAAACAGGAGCATAGGGAAACACTATGCACCTTTAAAGAATCTATTAGGTGAAGCCAAATCTCCAAGTGTTGAAGAGTCGGTGACTGTGGTTCACAAAGAGAAAGGTGCAAATGAGAAGGTAAACCATAAGTTGTTGTCATCACCACCAAAGTTGATTGAAGATGGTAATAAAGGAGGGAAGATAGTCAAACGTAGAGGTTCTTGGATGCCATTTGTTTGCTTTTTGTCGATAAATGTTGGTAACTAGAAGATGATGATGATGATGATGATGATGATGATGCAGATGGAGTAGTGATCTAAGGTAGAGTTTGGTGTGATAGAATCGAGCAAAGAATGGAATGAAACAAATTGTTTGTTTAAAATTTACAAGGTTAATAACCCTCCCAGCCCGCGATGCATGAGCCACATCACTAGTTATACATAATTTCCCCAAAAAAACAGCCTCATATATCGCTAAAAAAAGAGCAACCCGAGTTTTGAGTAATATTTCTAAGGCTATGAACACTCTTCTCTATTTCAACATTGAGTTCAATGAAATACTCTCTCATTCTTAGTTTTGGAATTGTCATGAGGCGTAGCTATGTTGATTGAAGGTGAGTCCTAGGACCCACCTATTTTTCTTAATGATAATAGAAGGGTTATATTAAAAAAAATAACAACTACCATATAATTTATAAAACACCTACCTTATAATGTTTACGAATGTATGTAGCTCATATTTTATATAATCTAGTCCACTTAGTGTAGCTCAATGAATCAATCGACTTAAAAGTTATTCATTACCAAATAGCCTAACCCATTTAAAATTAAATAAAAAAAATGAAAAAACCTCTTAAGAGATGCTTGAACCTTGATCGTGATCGACATCTCTTAACATTGAATGCTTGATGTGGTTTCTCGCCTGGTCGATCATTCCCGTTGTCCACTAGCCACCGTCGCCCCACAAGAAGGCGCCACCTCCTCTGCCCTCATGCCCTATACACAACAAAACAAGTGATCAATTTTGAATGATAGTTTAGTATCGTATATTGAAAAAAAAATGTTTTAGATATATCGATAATGATATAATTATGAATATATTTCAAAATATAAGACCTCGTAAGTTCAATTATAAGAACTTTATTATACCTATTGAAATTATGTTTAAATATTTTAAGTCATATGGTTCGACTTGCAACCACTAGTATTTATTACACTTTCATTTTTTTCGGTTTCATTTACATAAGGAACCATGTGGTTTTCATCGCCAGTGATTGTCATCATGTTTTGGAAAGACCAATATGTTTGTCCTATTAGTTTATAAAACATATTCTCTATTCTTTACGATCTCAGATTTGTTAAATGATGTTCTCTCTCTGACATATTTTCTAGTAGAGGTTTTTCATGGAAATGGAAAAATATACCCTCTCGTGATGAAGTCAAATCAGAATTTAATTCCCTTTGCGCTCTCCTTTAGTTGATTACATTGGTATGTCATGTAACCTTGTATTTTCGCCAAAGTTTTAGCTTCTTGCTAATCGCGGTAGTTGTGCTTTTTTCTTTTATATATTTGGGCGTGTCCAAAAAAACCAAAGTTTGCCAACGTAATTTTTATTGAAAGCTTGTGGATGTTTTTTGATCAAAAATACCAGTTTGTGGGTATTTTCAACAAACTTACAATGCTTGACCAAGAGGTAACCATGGTATTTTAGGAGCAAACGTAATATTAAGTTAGTAAGTTCCCTTCTAATAAAAAAATTTCAGTTCTGGGATGTCTTTTGAAATGTATGATTGTCTGTTACCCAGTTTACCGTTTTAAACTAGATATATACTTCTTTCAACACGTTAGAAACAGATACTCATCCTAACATGAATTATGATGATATTACCTCCTGTCGAATGAATCCAAAAAGACATTCATGTGCATGCATGCCAAAAAGGAACGACAACTAACACTGTAACACACACCGAAAGTTGACGTTCACAGAACCTGGAATATACATAGAAGATGGCGTAGTGATCCGGATATTTTGATGCAGGTAAGGTTAGTAGGACAAATCAAAGAAAAGAAGGGTCAAAATCAAATTTGTATGATTAAGATAGGGGACAACGAGTGATATAAGTTGTTTGTTTTTCAAAAATGCATGACCCGATGAAAGGCACTTATCATTAGACTCTTCGTGCCCTCCATTTTACGCGGTATTTTTTGTATTTTGAGTCCCCACCCATCATATTTATATTATATAAATATAAATATTTTTACATGATTCATATCGTCAACGTTAGATATTCACTTCTAGAAAAATAACTGTCTTCGGACGGCTGTTTCCATTGCAAAATACGTCAATAAATAGTTGTAAAAACATATTACGAAAGAATTTTTCCGTCAGAAAAATCCTCGTGGGCATCATTTGTGGCCGATTACCGACATAATACTCCGTCAGATAAATACCGATGGACCAAACTTACGGACGCATTTCTGACGGACTAAACATACCGACCGCTTTTTGATAGCTGTATTTGCCGACAAATGAGGTTTGACTACTCGTAATGGAATTTTGTGTGGCAAGTTTTGGCTGTTGTCAATGGAATTCTCACACAAAATTTATATTTAAAAAGATATAATTGCAAAAATAAGTTATGTATTTTTTTGGAGTTTGAGTCCAAGTTCGATTTATTTGGATTTATGATCTTTTTGGTTTAGTTTGTACACAGAATTGGTCCTCCGACAGGACTTCGTTAAATTATTGGTGTTAACCCACTCATGTGTATCCCCCATGAGGGTATATTTTTTTTTTTCACTTCTAAGGGATCATTTTTCTACCTGGTTTAAAGTTTTCATATTAGTGAACAAGGTTTGTGATTAATCCATAGTTTTCATGGACTCATTTTTATTCTTGATTGTTATCTAAGTTCAAACATTTAGCTTCCGCCAATAGAAGATAGCGAGAAGCCAGCCTCATTATTCACAAGACTTGATTATTTTGGTGGTGGGAACCTGATAAAGGAAGACATTATATCCTTTTTAAGCCTTTAATTGGTTTAGTTCACTTCAAATAACTATAATCCAATAACTATGTCAGTCATATTTTGCTTAATGTTACACTCAACTTCTAGGAAAAAAAGTTTTGGAAGTTTCCTTGATTTCTTTTCTCTAGATTAGACTTGCAGAAATAGAATCAATTGCAGTTAATGAAATGTTTGTCATACTGTATGACATTTGGCTAGACCATGAGGAGGTATAAGTTTGTATAAATTCTCTTCTCTGTGTAATGTTTCACCTTTTTCTCATTTTATGAATCAAAGTTGTTTTTTCCAAGGGTAGGAGATGGGTACGTTGCAACGAACCCTACTGTGTTCATCGGTTTCATGGAGAGCTTGATTGGATCCAAGATTCAAACTCAACAAGAAACTACACCAATCTGAAAAAGAAAAATTCCATGATGGTGGGTCTGTGATGGCAAGATTAATACCAAGGTTGGAGATGGTGGTTCAAAGGTGGTGTATGGTGGTGGTTTGTGTGATATGCTTGAAAGATGAAGACGTTGAAGATGATGAAAATGGACTTGGAGGTTTGTGGCAGGGGAGAGAGAGAGAGAGACAGTTATCTTTTATTTTTTAATTATTAAAATAAATAAATAGGTATTATTATTTTTTTTAAAAAGGGATATATTTTTTTTCAGGTGCGAAGATGGTCCCTTGGAAGTGAAAAGAAAAATATACCCTCATGTGGGAGGCACATGAGGGGGTTCACAACAACAACATTATGGAACTTATATCGAGGGACCAATTCTACATACAAAGTAGGTCAAAATGATCATGAATCCAAAAAAGTCGAGGTTTTGACTGAAACCTAAAAAAATGCATATCACACATACAATTTTTGCAATTTTGTCATTTAAAAATAAAATAAAACTAATTGCAGATTAATTTGGAACTATTAGGAAAAAGAACTAAAAACCGATAAAATGTTGCATTTTTACATTTTTCCTATTTCAACAGATAACAAATTAATTTGGAACTTTTTTCTAAACTGATCTAAAATATTGGTATTATTTTATGAACTACTCAAAATATTGAGACTTTTCTATATAAAACCATGATCTTTTTATTATTTTATAAAAATTGAAATAAACATATTATGTATTAAATTTGTTATTATTAATATTTTTAAATAAATGCATATATAAATATGTTTTAAATACATACGAAAAACATCTTTGTGTGTATGTGTGTGTATGTATATATATATATATATATATATATATATATATATATATATATATATATATATATATATATATATAAATATATAATACATTAAAAATATTTTTAAAGTCATTTTTTTCAAATAAACGTATTTATATGTTGTTGAGATAAAGAACTGGATGATGATACAAAATAGCGGTACAACAAGCAAACAATATCAAGCATACCTATGGTTGATCAGGCCATGCTTAAGTGTGATGAACTAAAAAAATATGGTAGACAGAAAACCATACTCGACATGCCTAAGTATGGTAGACAGATGACCATACTCATACAATGCATTTATAGTTCTTTTTTATTTAAGCATTTTTGTAAATGTAAACATAAATTTTTGATGACACAAAGAATATGTGGATTTATGTGAAGATGGTAATGAGGATTGATGTGAAGACTCTCCACACATTAAGTGTTTTGAAGATTGATCTCTGATATTGTCTTTACCAAAGAGATGTACTTTTGTTCACTTTATCTTCTCAAATCTTTTGTATAGATTGTGTAAGTTAGGCATGTTGAGTACGGTCGTCTACCTACCATAGTTAAGCATTGCTTGGTCTGAGTCTTGTCATTTTTCGACTTTACTTAGGCATGTTGAGTATAACTCTTTGTCCACCATACGTTTCTAGTCCGCCATACTTAAGCATGGCCTCGTCCACCATACTTAAACATGACACGATGGGTTTTGATAAATAGAAAAGCTAGTTTTTCATAAAAATCGGCAATGGATGCTATAAAATTTTCGAACAAATTCCGAGTATATGTCAAAACCAAACTATCTATGATCTTATTAAAGATCTATAATGATATTAAAAAAACATAAGGTGTTTACAAATAACAACCTTTAAAGCCTTTGGACCCTCTTGGATTTAGGGTGCTGATGAAGATGGAAAAAACAAGAAGCTTGAACATATCTATAAGTATCCACCACCAGGAATAAGCTAGCAAAATTCCTAGATTTCTTCTTGTATGACCTTGTTCTTTAAGCCTTAAGTGGTTAAAACAATTAAGCACTAAAAGGAAGACACAAAGTAAACACCAAAAGCCAAGTAACAAATTTAAAAGTTGACAGAGCTTCTATCTAAGATAGATTTAGATTTTAGAGATAATGGGAAGAAGTAGAATAGAAAAAACTAGCCACTATTTTCATGAATGGGAGCTTCTTTTTATACCTTGTGTAAAGTAAAGTCTTTTGAATATAATACTCTAAAGTATTGGCTACAAAAGAGAGGCATGGGGGACAAGATGATGGAGGTTGACAAGCAACCTCCATGCCTATAAAACATATGGCCTTATGGTCTAATAAAGACAAAATGTAATACCGTATATTTTCAAACAAAAATTTTATTTTAAAACACATGTGACATTCTTTCAAAAAATCACAAGAATCAATTATCAACACATTTTTAAAAGTTGTTTATCGCAAACCCGGGATCCTCAAACATAACTTATTTCTCTTGTGTGTACAATCAAACCGACGGCTTCTTGTGATCCTGATAAGCACCTGAAACACATAACACATAACACGGTAAGCACGAAGCTTAGTGAGTTCCCCAAAATACCATATACACAAATAAGCCTCTCATAGCTATCGCTCGACATAGACTCTATGGTCATGCATCTCGGTGAGGACCCTCAGGTCTTACGGCTCGTTGGTCCTTCTGGTCCAGTCTCAGTGAAGACCCTCCGGTCTTATAGCTCGTTGGACCCTCAGGTCCGGTCGCGGTGAGGACCCTCCAATCTCACGGCTAATTGGACCATACGGTCCGGTCTCAGTGAAGACCCTCCGGTCTCATAGCTCGTTAGACCCTCCGGTCCGGTCTCAGAAACACATAATATAGCATATATATCACAAAGACAAAATGCAAAACTCAAGTAAACACATAAGACCCTCTGGTTACTCATAGATACCACTCATTGTAAGTATAATGAGAAGACTCACCTCGAAAGCAAGTGAGAAAATCACCTTGTACTCGAATCTCGAACTAGCCTTTCACTAAAAAAAGGATGAATATCTCTAATTAACACTCTTTTCATGACTCTAACAAACTGAAGGCTATTCTATCTCTCTCTCTAACTTTTGAAGTGGATAAAATACCATATTACCCCTCGATGATCTCCATTACTCATGATTGACCAAACCCTCAAGTTAACAAAAGTCAAACTCAGGTCAACAGTCCATGTTTGACACGATTCGCCGAGTGCACCCATGTGACTCGTTGAGTCCACTCGCTTCCTCAGAATTCTCATGAAGGTCCAGCTCAACTCGTCGAGTTGACCCCTAACTCGTCGAGTTATCACATGATCAAGCTCATCGGGACAAACCCTCACCGAATCGTCGAGTCGGCTACTCGAGTCAGCGAATCAAGTCAGACTCATTTCTCATTCAGATGATTTCAAGGTAGAAAACCTTCCCAAACTTTAGATCTACATTCTTAGGGCCCGAATATCACATAAAGTCACAAGCTTTACGTCCATGCATGGCATATGTTGCTCTAAATACTAATATAACTCTAACGAAGATGTTTAACCATAATAACTCTTATATGGTGGAATAAAGTTATTGTCTTTGGACTCTCTGGACCTCACAAAGTCCAGATCTGAACTCTAGGCCTTTTAATAGACTCCATGCACTTATTTTCCCCACAAAAGTTAGAAAAAGCCCAAACTTCCAAAATCATGTGATCCAACTAATAAGATGAGAAAGGTGGAGGCTTTATACCTTCTATAGAAGCTCCATGTGAAGAAATGCTAGATCCCATAGCTCTTGGGTTTTGAGCATTCTAACACTCCTATAGTGTACATGCAGCCCTAAATACCTTGGATCTATGTTTTCTCTATTATAAATGCAAAATATCATTTTCCAAGGTATTGTTCTAACTAGCATAATATAAAGTACACATAATATAAATTCTAGTAGAATTACAAACCTTTTGTTTGGTTCTTGATATCATGGAGCTTAAGAGCCTAGTGCCCCAAATGTGACACCTCAAATGGTTCACACAACACCGTGAACATTTAGAATAACCATTAGAGAAGATATGAGCGTATAGAAATTGGCTTACCCTCTTGTGTATACACTAGTTCCCATTTCTCCAACTAATAGGGTCTTTATATAGTGTTCACATTAGGGTTACACCATGTAACTCATGACTTTACCCATTCCTTATGCTCCATCGGTTTTAACCTCCATGGAGTATCCATGGGCCACCATATGGGTTAAACCCAACATAAGGAATCATGGATCATAAGCCCACATATATAAGAATCAATTATTTATACAATCAATCCCCATATATTTAATTAGTCTCTTTTTGATCACTAAATTAATTCCAAATTAATTCTTGATCAATACTAATTAAATAATATGATTTCATATTAATATATTAGAACTTATAATATATTAATATGTCACAAATATCTTCTTCTCATTAAAAGGTCTACCCAAATGTTCCGATGCCATGCAACCCAAATGGACCATGCCGGGTCGGGTTAAGTATATACCAATTACAGTTATGGACGTAGACAATAATCCAACAATAGCCTCATCTCTTTCCTTGCTTGTTGCTCACTCATTTCCTTCCAAAATATTCACCCAGAACACTTAATATTAGCTCAAGCACTCTCTCTTTATCTTCAATGGCCGGTAAGGGTTTCACAAACCTGAGGATTTAGGATTTCACTACACAACACCTACTCGACAACTCTGTACACTGACTCGTGGAGTCCGTTCATTAAACCCACGCGGATAACTCGACTCTACTCCGACGAGTTGGACTCACAACTAATCAATTCGCTCCATAAAACTCAGAATTTACTCTTACAATGATATACCTGAAAATCTGGATGTTACAATTCTTCCCTACTTGAATTAGATTTCACCCTCGAAATCGCTCCTCCACAACACATAGATCAAATCCAAAACTCGAAAGGATGTCATACAACATGACTGTCTTCCTCCAGAAGCACCTGAATCCAAACAGAAACTCCCAAACCCGGAAAAGGACAAACCCTCCTACCGCTACGTTACCCCTTCTGACTCTTCAGAATTTGGAAACTCTAGTGGTTTGTCTCCCTGCCAGACTGGCCTTACAATATACCACCATGCTAATGGCTCCTCGAATAACAGACCAAGATAATTCACTACTCCACTGATTCTCTTGCTGTGACTGATAGAATCGAG